TTCATGTTGCAGAGAGTGGTGTAATCTTTAAATAGCTTCTTACTGCCTTGAACTTCCTTATTAGCTTCTCTCCCCAGACACAGATATTGGGAATAAAGACAAGCTGAGGTCACAGAATCGCTGACAGGGAGAAGGGAAATGGGGGTGGGGACCACGCGCTTTGCACGAAAATAAATGTCAAAATGCTGGAGTGGGATTCCGAGTCCGACTTCAGCTCCGGCTCTGAAGCAGTGCCTCGCAGAGATCCACAAATCAGAAATTGTATTGCTCAAATACAGTATCTGTCTTAATTGCCATCATTAGATCAAGTGAACAAACCAGATAAACGAGAGCGACCCGGATTTGCCCACATAAGACTTGTTATCAGCTCCAAAAAATGCAAGAAATTGTCTTAGGAGACATCAAGCAGCACCGAACTGCGACTTCTGTCCCTGGGAACCTTCTGGGGGTAGCACAGACCGCGCCAATGCCGGGGTGAGCCCGGCCCAGCACAGCTCCCAGCACACGCGTGCCGATGGCTCAGAGCTGCGCTTTGGTCCCCGTGAAACCAGGGAGCCTGGTGACACCGCTGAACCTCCGCGCTGGGGCCCTTCCCACCACTGCGCCTCGCTCCCCACCCAGCGGGGTGCCGAGAAGGTGCAGAGAACCGGTCCCACGAAAGGTACTGGCAAACAGTGCTGCTTTGAGCAAGAAATAAAGAAAAGATCCCCCAAACTTGCAAGAAAGGCTGTAAGAAAAGGCCACATTCCAGCAGGACAGCGCCCATGGGAGCACTGCGAGATCTGAGCTGCTTTGTAAGTGATGCAAAAGGCCGTTTTGCCCCATCTGTGAAAGATTTACTAGCATCTGCACTAAGGTTTTGTATTACTGAACTTCTTTTTTTGTTTAAACAAGAGGTAGACTAAAGTTCTGAAACTGCACTGTAAACTTAATTTCTAAATCCACTGACAAATGAACACTCAATTTTGCAATGCATTAATACTGCTTTATAGAGTGAATCACTGGATTCAGAAGCAGAGCAATGAATACCAGCTCCCAGTCATTAACACAAAATAGATAGTTTCTATTCCAGTGTAAATTGCCTAAGGCCTTATTAACATAAAAGAATGAGCCAGAAAGCTGTTTCCTGTTTTCCAAAAGTAAACAGAACTTCATTTCTAATGTATGGAAAATTCTCATTTAAGGCACAGGGAGCAGGGAAGAGAGTGCTCTGCCACCGCGACAGAGACCTATTTAAATACTGAACTGTTTCCACTCACGGTGTGCTATTTTAGAAGACGAACCTGTGGATCACACACGCAATCCCTTCTACGCAGCAATAAGGGCAGGGAATCTAGCCCTCAGTATTATGCAACTCTCTGTATGCGTTTTTTTGCCTGATTTAAATATCATTACAACTACAGGAAAAGGAGCACAATAAGAAGTGAGACTGAAGGTCTGTTCTGAAGAGAACACTGAGATTTATGCAGTGGACAGGAAGCTACTTTCAGGCCAAAAAAAAAAAGTTTTTTTTCAGAGAGGTTTTAAAATAGAGGAAGCAAACTGAAGCACTGGAAAAGAATATTTTGAATACAGTATATTTGTTCACTTAATCCTTTATACTAGTATCTTGCGTTTGAATCCAAGTAACATTGCAATTTGAAATGGACGTCAAAAGTCAGGACCGCTGCGAACGCACAGGGAGAGGGGACGGTCTCACAAACACCCACTACTCAATCAAAAACAATACACGAGAAAAAAGTAAACAACGGGGAAAAAAAAGCGAAGGAGAGAAGTCAGCACGGGCAAGCCATAATACAGTCGAGGCATCGATTAGAGGTGACCTAAAAGCTGCTCGTTATAATACGAACGTGAGCCCCCGACAAATCAGCTCGGGAGTTAAAGCCGCTCTCCCAGTGCGCGGAGGAGGGACGCTGCCTCTGGGCAGGGGCAAAGAGCCGCCCGGGCAGAACCCCGTGGGGTGGGAGAGAGGGTGACGATTTGGGGAGGGGAGGTGAAGCAGAGGGAGGAAAGCAAAGGAGCAAATTCAGCAAGCCGTCTCTGGAGAGCCGGGCTCGGCAGCTCGGTTTTGCCCCAGTGAGGAACGGGGCCCGTGCCAGCCAACAAGTGGGCTGATAGCATGAGGGAGAAGAAAACTATTTTAGGCTTTGTCATCTGCACGCATGGATTCTCTCTGCTAAATGCCAGATGCTAAATGCTGTTCTCTAAGCGTGCAGGAATATCAATTATTGCAGACTGTACTATAATCAAATTATAAGTTTACAAATTAAGGTAGACTTTTTCTCTGCGAGTGCACGTTCTTTCCTATAGTGTACCAAAGGATCTGCCTCAAAGAGAGAGAGTTCAGAAGCCTTTAACTCTGAATCAGAAGTCAAATTAGCCCATGAGGGGAAATGCATTTTTCTTACTCTATGGCAAATAAATAGGCAGATAAACCTCTGACATCTATGTGCCTAACGTAACTGTGGGTGAGAAACACTGCCATTGTTTAAGATCATGCAATCCTCTAACAAAGTTCAGGTCCCACTCTGCCTCTTTCCAACATACACGTGCACTTAATATAAAACCGTCACGCCTCCCAGGCAATCTGATCGCAGCGGCAGAATAGACCGTGCAGAGCGCCCGGGGAACACGGGGAGGGCTGAGAGCCCACACTCGCACGGTTCCTCTGGGCACGGAACGGCCAACGCTTCCCCCAGCCCGGGACATTTCGGTGCCTCTCAGGGTACGTTAGCACCCAGGGTACCCGAGGACGCAGGTCAGACTGAACGCTCTCAGAGTTTCCACCTTTCATTTGGTCTTCGAAGGCTTTTTCTTCAGGGCGGCATTTTTGTACGTATCAAAAAGTGAGTAAACAGCTTAGCAAGGTGGGTTTGCCTTTAACTACAGTCACACACAATAAAACCATTTCAGCTGGTGAAGCACTGTAAAGCTGTTACCACAGTTACTATCAGTAAACAAAAAGAAAAGCACAGTAAGGCCAGAATTTCTCTAACTATATATTCCAAATAAACAGGCAAAACAGGGCTAGAAGTTTTCTGAAGCTCTGTCCAGCCACCAAGTGAAGCAGTTATATGACTTTTTTCTTTTCCCCCTTTTACATATCGATGGGGCAAGGCAGCCTTCTGCCGGCAGGACGGCAGAGGAGGGCTGTGGAGCCCAGCACAGCGCGGCTGGAGCCCACGGCACCCCCCAGCAGCGGGTAGAGCCCGGCTCCGGAGGGGAGCTCCATCCTCCCGCGAGGCCGGAGCTCAGGACGCAGGGCTGCGGGCAGCCAGAGCCGGATCCCATTCGAAGCTTTTACTGTCTTTGCCTACTACCTTCAGCTCTCCTCCCATTCTCCAGATGAAACACTACAGTGTGTCCCTTACGGAAGGGGAGAAAAGCAGTAACCTTTGATCAGCTTGATATTTTATAGTACATAATTATCAAGTATAGGTTACAATTTCATTTAATTTCTTCTCAGTCAGGCGTACTTGACAAATTGTGTCAAAGGGTATTCTAACTATATTAATATCCTCATGCAAGAGGGAACTGCAGGTTAAATTTCAACAAGAGATAATTGCTTTCTGCTATTGGAAGGTACACACTAAAAAGCCTTTGGAACAGAGCTGCTGCATTCCTTCCCATCGGTCTCTCCGTGCTCCATTATGTGCACTTCACACTGCAATATTAAAGCGATGCTCGTTTTGGTAACACATTCTGACCACACAGAGCTTGAAGACAGATTTGAAGTGAACTGAAAGAAATTTGAAGTCTGTTCCAAGAGAGGGGCCGAGCCTTCTGCCTGATTGATAGGTTGGAGAGGGTAACATCTCTCCAAAATAAAAAGATAAGCATCCTGACTGTTTTGGAGGAGGATCTCCCTCTGCCCCCCAAAAGGTGTTTGTATCTGGACTCAAGCTACAGAAGCTGTTGCTGGAAAACCCAGTCCCCGCAGCGCTCAGGCCTGCAAGCTGCCACTCCTCTTCCAAAAGAGCTGAAGGTTTAAACATTATGAGCAGTGACAGGTCAGCTTGAAAAAGCCTTCAATATCCAACCCCCTCACAACTCATTTCTTCAAAAATTCACCCCTTCCATCATTTATACCACTATTTTCTTCCACCTGACTGAGGCTGCATGTCACCTCAGCATCCTTCACAAAGCAGCACTATTACACGTTTTCTTGGCTCTACGTTAACACACCAAACTGGCCCCAGAGTGCCACAGCCCGTACCACCCGAGCCGGGGAAGCAGAAGCGCAGAGCTAAGACCGCGTACGCTAACACCACGTACACTAACGCCCCATCAGCACCGTTTTCCTGCAGCATGAGATGTCCCTGCAAGAAGAGGTCCCACGTGCCCCAGCACCAGCCCTGCCTGGTCCCACCACAACTGCTCACGCAGCCATGACGTCGGCTGCACTGACACGGGTTGAAACTAACTTTTTAGATGGGGTGGTTTTTTTCACTGGAAGGTTACACTAACGCTTGCGCCAGCAAAGGGAAAGAATAAGCAGCTGCGCACACAGGTCTGCTGCTCTCAGCAGCAGTGACAGCTTAGATTGGCTTAGTACAATACACAGCCACAGATGCTTTTGTCTTAGCGTGACGTTAGTGTCACGAAAAGACTAATCTGCTATCCCTCCCGGTGAGGACAGTTTCTGCTTCAAGAAGCCCTCCTTACTAACGAAGAACAAAACCAACAAAGGAAGTCTGATACACCTTTTACATTTCTCATGATAGCAGAAACACTCGGTCCTGTTATCAGAAAGGATGAAAGCACATGCATAACACTGCATTTCACCACGGAAATGCTTCTTGCAGCCAGCTTTCAATAATGAATACCAAGACGTAGAATGATATACAGCATTTATTATCTAATACTGCTGATATTAAGATGGGATTCTGAACAAGTAATAAATCTTTGCCTCTGAACTTCACCTTGGGTGCAAGTGCTTTGCAGAACCTATAGCATTTATATATATATTTTTGTCTGTTATCGTGGTATTTACAACATACCTTTAAGGCTTCTATGACGAGATCTCTTGCTTCTAATTCACCCTCAAGAATGCTAAACAGCGTCAGTAGTTCTGGTTTGCTGAGTTTTTCCAGATTCATCCTGAAAACCTGAAAAATGGAACATAGTTTACCAGGTATTTCTTTGTACATGACAATCACTATTCTAAGTTACAACATACAATCTCCATTTAACTTCAGCGTCCAGTTTTTTGGACTGCAGATTGCCCTGGGGGGAAAGGGGAGAATACACAAGGTGAAGATTTTCTCTTCAACTTCCAAGACCAATTGTAGAAAATGCATTTTTCACCTTTTCCCAAGGGGTCATGAACATACGCGCACCCAGATGGTGTAGGCAGAACGTACGGGCAAACACGACAGTGTAATATTCACCAGGAAGCAGCCAAAGTTAATAGGAGAGGGAAAAACATGGATATTTAAAAGCCATACTACTGTAAATTACACATCTGGTTCACACAGCTGCAGTCATCACTGAAACAAGACTGAAGAGCGGGGAGGAATGTGGTCCAGACTGGGCCACCTACACAAACTTAACGGTCAAGTTAACGTTTTGATACGTTTCCTAGGAATGCCATTACGCATTACTAATGGAACAGGCCCAAACCACTTTACAAAAATCAATGCCACAAAAAACACACATTTAATTACTATTCTTTCAAACTGTTTCAATATCACCATCATTTATTAAATATAATTTTACTGCCCACATAAGAACAAAGATCCATCATCTGAACTGCACATATAAAAAGCTTTTTTCTCCCCTGCATCTTCACCGATACGCTTAACACTGCCTGGTAATAAGCCTTTTTATTACACTATTTTGTTAACAATGGAAATAATTTCACAGGCTAAACTCTTGTCAACTAAATACCCATTGATGATATAGTCTTGTGCTTTGTGCAAGAATCAAATACACTTTTCTGAGTCCAAGTCACATCCATCTTTTACCACTCTATCGATCAGAAAATGCTACAGCACGGAGAAGCTACTCGGAGACATCAAACCCCACTTCAATGGCAAGTGATAAAGGGTTAATTTAACCTTTACTAGAGAATCCTAGCCATCTAAAACATTCAACTGAACTGTAATTTTTCGGAAGTCACTGCTACTTTACAACTGATTTGCATAACTGTGCCTTGGAGAATTATGCACAAATACAAGTTCTGTCTTGTTTATGCCAAAGCAGTTTTCCAGTTGCTGGGAACAGAAAGTTCTGCTTGCAGAGAGGAGTAGGTAGCCTTCACACCGCAAGAGAAAGCAGAAATCTGCTTCGTGCCCCCTCTACTGAGCCGGCAAGTTTCTCATCATGCAGTCACGTTCCTGCTTCACGCAGCGTTTTACATGAAATTCCATAAAGCAGCGACGTTTCTCACAGCCTGTCCTGGCCGGCCCTGCCGTTGGCATGCGCTGCTCAAGGAAACTTCAGTGGAAGCGACCAGGACTCTCCAGGATATCGCCGATGTTCCAAAACCCATTTAACTGAACACCACAGATCTGTCAGCGCTGCCCGTATGTTCCCTATTGCAGATCCATTAACATACGGTCAAGAGGAAAATACACCAGTGGAGTGTTTGGCAAACCCGTTCACATCTGTCACAATTTCAAAAAAGCCCGATCGAGACTTGACACAAAAAGTGTTATTTAGGAAACTCACTACATTGACTCAGATCCCATTTCAGCGGGCCAGGGCAGTGCTGGTCACCGATCCGCAAGTGCTGTGCTTCCAGCTCAGCCGACAGAGTAAATGGGACTTTACGGAGTTGCCCAGGACGTGAGCCTGAGCATCCCCCTCGGCTTCGGGTACGTCTGCTGACGGTTCTGTCGCCACGGGGAGCCTGGCAAGCTGAGACCGCGCGGAAGGAGTGCGATTAACAACTTGTTCATCTTATACGAAAAGGGAGGGAGTGCAACATGAGCAGCAAATTAATGCTAAAACATAAATAAGCAGCCATGCATCGCGAGAAAAGAGGGGGCCTCGTTTTAGCCTTTGACGTTTACCGTACTTAACTCTGAGCTGTATCACTTCCCTGGGCAGCTTTTACATCTGGAACCTCTGGACGTCTGCTCAGGACATGCACAGCTTCATTTAAAACCACCTCAGTCCTTGCTCAGACTAAATTCACGGGTGCTGAGACTGAATCAGTACTGACAGGAAATAGGAACTTCTTTTTCCAGATACTCATCATGTTATATTAGTTTGGGGGTATTTTAAGCCAGAACTAAAAAGGAGAAGTTTTCTTTGAGATCTTAGAACAAAGTATATCATCTAACTCTGTCACCCTAGGACAGACCATTCTGAACGTGGACTTTCAATGTGACTCGTCTGTGCTCTTCTCTGAAAAAGAGATGACATGGGAACGTGCAGCTGCATCTCTCCATTAGCTAACGAACAGCACGCTCTTAAAGCGAGGACAGCTACCAACTGTAGTTTGGTATTTTAAAGCTATTAGTCTGGGCAGTAATTGTTTCTATTCTATATTCTAAACACTTCCATTGTGACTTGTACTTCACAGTGTTATAGAAATAAGCCATGCTATTCTTACCATGCCTCTACGGCTATAGTCTTTAATCAGCTTAATAACATAAACAAGCCCTGTCTTAAAATATATAGGTAAAAATACTTACAGAAATAAAGAGCAGCAGCCAGTTTGCACAGTAATCATTTAGACAACAAGAGGTACCATTAAATCTATGTAAGTGGTACAGCCTCAGCTTCCGTCTGTGCTACCTGCTGCTACAGAAGGCCTTTAACTGTGCCGTTTGCACGGGGGATCCCGTGCTGCTGAGGCGACAGACTGGGAGCAGATGCTACAAATAAAGTCACTGCCCTAAAACCCCCCCTAAACTGCGTTTGTATTCTCCACTGATTTACAGGGAACTTTTCAATGCCTCTCGGAGCACGCAGGGCAGATACCTGTTCCGCTGAATCTCTAACAATCTCAAGCGCTCCCTTTTAGGGCCACTCAACACAAGGGAGCCGAAAAATGTGAAAAAAAGTTCTATTCATTTTACGTTATTATTTACAAGAAGAAGCATCTCTGGATCAAAGAGCTAATAAGCATATATCTGAGCTCCTCCTCCCCTATCCAAACCCGAATCCCTTCCCGGCCCTCCAGCATCACAGGCTCCTGAGCTGACCTTTCCACGACTGCTTTCTGGTTACAGGTCCCTGTTCCCTCCTCGTCCCACTTTTTAATAAAAGATCACGCCAACCCTATTCAATTACCCAGTTCTCCCCCTTGCAAACAGTTCCATTCTGCCAAACAGATCTGTACTCGTCAGCTGAGGAACCTGACCCATTATTTCCAAACCTTCAAGCAAGAGATAGAGTTTCGCAGCATTAGAAACAAGATCTAGAAACACGCGGGGCATATTACCCCTCTACGTTCAGTGAAATACGCTGACCAGTCCAATCACACAGATCACAAACCACAGGACCTCATTATTTAGTCTGATGGTATAAATATTTTCCCTGAGTCTAAGATATATCACCATTTTTGGACAATAAGCAAGAGTTTAGAGCATAAACAAAGATAATTACGCACTGCTTGCTTAGAGGTAAACTCCCTTTTAGCTATGCTACAGCCCATTAAAGAGTCTGTCTCCTCAGCAGACCCATACCTACCCTTGAAAGAGATAAAACTCTTCTTTTGAAAGTTATTTCCCAGTATTTAACTGAAAATAAATATCAAGACCAGTTTAAACGTACATACACCCATGCAAGCTAATAAACCAGGGTAAGTTATCTTTGGCATGTGCCACTTCAGGAACAAGAGATAAGCTTCTAGACCGTGGCAGCTCCTCCGCGCACTGAATCACGCTACAATGCTTATGAAACCATTAGAGGTTACATTTCGCTTGGGCTCACGTACATAGAAGCACGAACCAAGTTAACCAATGCCACCAGCGCAAGAGAACTTCACCCACCAACTTCAGTGAAGGTTTGAGTCACTACGCGGCGGGCACGAGCCAGCGAGCAGCCGGAGCGCGCAGCCCGAGGCGCAGACACGGAGGTTGTCAGCTGGAAGTGTCAAGATCCTCTGCAAGCACCTGGCTCAAAACTCTTCTACTTTTTAATAAAAATTGTGAAGAACGTAGCTTGGCGTTCCTTTTTCCCTCTGCAGGAGGGTATTTCCTTTCCTTTCGTAAGTCATGGTTACAGCTACGCCAGTTCAACAATGCCTCTATGTCTATAATCCTGAATCAGTTTCATTTTTTCTTTCCTGTCCCTGAAGAGGAACTGTTTTTTTCCAGGAGCCTGCATGGGCAGTCGCGAAATCGCATTCATACAAGAACCTAAACGGGTAGTTTGAAAACTCCTGATAGACAAGTTTTTAAAAATGCTGCCGCATGTGTAGCGTGACGTGCGAGTTGTTAAAATAATTACATGATATGTTTATATAATAAAAAGCTAACACACACTTTATAATTGTGCATCCACAGTGCTGCCTGGCATTGCATCAGAACTGTAGAAAATTAGGTTAAAGCGAGCAGTGTTTAACCCCCACCCCGGTACCACCGACTAAAGGGAGAGAGGTCACCCCCCACCCCCCACTCCCTTATTTCTCAAAGTATTTGGATGGAGCAAATACAGAAAATTCGCCTTCAAAACATTGCCAAAGTCCTTCAACAACCACCGCGCGGCAACTATCGCTCCTTGACGGAAAATTAAACCAACCCCCGCGTTACC